CGCCAGCTTACTGCCCAAGTCAAGCGTGCGTAAAGAAGTTTCACTTCAAAAAAGAAACTTCTGAAAAGTAAATAACCTGACATTAGGCGGTGCGTAAGACATAAGGGATTGGAGCAGCGCACGCATCACTCGTGTGTGTGTATCACATACACACACACACACACATATACAAATAGTCATGTGATGCTCGTGACGCATTTCCGTTTCATCTTTTCTATTGGCTTTTTCCGTTTACAAACCTTAGATTAAAACAAAAAGGGTAGATACGGTACGCTCATACTTGCATCAAACAAAAACTGTTCCCACGGCAGCGCGAACAGGACGGCGAGATCCGCGTCACTGCATTACCGTCCCGAACGAAACAGCACGTTAAGTTTCAACGGCAGCGCGAACGAGACGGCGAGATCCGCGTCACTGCACTACCGACCAATCACGCGACCAGTACTCGACGTCACTACCGAATAAGATTCATAACAAACAGCATTTTTTATGAAAAAATATATTTTATAGTACTTACGAATGAAAAGTGATGCCGTGGGTTTTGTTTTTAGTTCTTGAGCAATTTGAGCACTTTTTAAAAACACACTTAGGCATTGTTTTATCATATAAACACAAAATATTAGCAATATTTCTTTTTGGCGTTCACATGTACGTCGTTTGCATGTCAAGTTGTGACTAAAGCGATTAGGGGCGTGGATCTCAATTCATGCGGATCTCTTTTGTGAGGCTAGTGCCGTATCTACCCTTTTTGTTTTAATCTAAGTTACAAACCGTCCGAAAAGGAGTTTCTCATCATTGTTTTTTTTTTTTTAAATCACGGCCTAAGGCGTGAACTAAGGCAATCTGTACTCCCAATTCCAGAGACAATATTGGCCGCCGGCCGCAATAATAGTGGGGACGATTTATGTCACGCCCATATATCACACTGTGTCGGATCTACATGCACTTACACACTTTTTGTGATAAAACATATAGGATTCTATTCCCGGTGAGCCCTTTATCTTTCCCCAGGTGAGATATTGCCTCTTTTAGTGGTTGTAATTCAATAAATGTTTTACCAATTGACATTTTGTCGTTTTAAATGTCTCTGTATTAGGTTAATTGGGGAATTTTGACTGTATACAAATAAACTTAGGCCCAAAGTAAGCATTGCAAGTACTTGGGTAAAATGGACAGAAATTAATACAAAGTACAACATTACCTCGCCACTTTTTTTTTTCTAGTAATATAAATAAGCAACCGTGGCATGTTTGTAGCCATTAAACAAACATTTGCTTCCAGCGGGATTCGAACCTAAGACGTAAGAGTAGGCGACACCAAAAAAATATTAGCATATGTAGGTATATAATTCTACTGCGAAAGTGGGTAAATGTCAATAACATTCTGATATTCGGAAATTATGTAATTTAACATGTGGGTTGAACTATTATTCTCTAAGTACAACAAATAGCTCCACTCAATCAAGAGTGGCAATCACAAATGGCAAAAGTCTGCTTTAAGCAAAATATAGTAAGTAGTTTCGCCTACTATATACGTGCCCAGACGATTGGATAATTTAAGAAACAGATTAAATATTTTTTCCTTTCACAGTAGTTGTTTGTGTTGTTCCAACTGTATGTATGTATGTATGTGTATGTCTCTCTACTCATTCATTTAATATTTGTATACTTGCATAGTAGATATTTATGAGTATGTTTAATCGTGAATATTTTATTGTTATTATTTTTATTTGTTATATTAGCACACCCTATCTATCCCTACCCTACTCTATCTATCTATCTATATATATGTATATATAGATAGATAATACTTTATTGTGCACACCACATTAAATATTACACACAAGGACAAAACTTAAAAAAGTGAACAATAGGCGGTCTTATCGCTATATAGCAATTTCTGCCAGACAACCATAGGATGGAGAGATGAAAAATAAAGAGGGGGTGTGCTAATATAACAAATAAAAATAATTACAATAAAATATTGTAATTATTAAAATATGCTATATATATATATATATATATATATATATATATATATATATATATATATATATATATATATATATATTATTTAGTATCATATAGTAGGATACTATATTGTATAGTAGGATTGACAACTTTACTGCTATGTGTTCTGTCGTATACTCTGATTTATTTTCTTTTTGTTTTCTAATTTGGATGCAATTAATTTTATTTTTACTTTTTCTTATTTTCTGTAGGGTCACTGCTCTGGGTATGGCAGAATACCTGTGCAGCAGGAATTTATACTTAGACAAGATTTTTTTTGTATTTTTATGTGTATGTTATGTGTTGTCAGCAATAAAAACTATTTTCTTTCTTTCTTTCAATCTGATGTTAATTATAGAATGAACGGAGGCTATAGCTAATGCGGCATAAAAGTCTGAAACCAATCTACAGCTCCTTGAAGCCCAAGAATCTATACTTATAATAAATCTGTAGAAAGGTCAATTCTGTACATGAAATATATTTTCAAAATAAATATCAGGGGATGATAAGTGATCGATACTGATGCCAAAAATGCAATCAGTAAAATTTTTGTCTGTCTGTCTGTGTGTATGTTCCTTATAGAAACAAAAACTACTTGACAGATTTTAACGAAACTTGGTACAATTATTCTTCATACTCCTGGGCAGGTTATAGTATACTTTTCATCACGCTATAATCAATAGGAGCAGAGTAGTGAAGGGAAATATTGGAAAGTGAAAGTTACTCCATTTTTTAAGCTTCCGTCGCGTGTGCAGCTTTAATGGTTAAAGTTACATAGAAATCATGTATGACGGAAATATTATACATAAAATTGTCTAAAAAATATCCCGCAACAGCATATGTCTATCTTTTATGGTTGACTCACAATAACACGTGTAATTATATAAATAAAGTTATTGTTTATAACACAAGCCTGAGAACAAAAACTATAGTTTACACTACAGCTCTACACCGAAGCGAAGCGAGGGCGGGCCACTAGTATAATAATTATTTATTTGTTTGAATATACAATTAGTACAATCATCATCATCATCAGCCTATTAATGTCCACACTGCTGGGGTACAGGCCTTCCCTATGGATGGAATAGGGATATTGGGCCACGACCCACCACGCGGGCCCAGTGCGAATTGGTGGGTGTTAACGACTGAAGATGCAGCCGGGATTAACAGCTTAATGTGCTTTCCGAAGCACGGAGGAGCTCGAGATACACATTTTTGGTCACCCATCCAATGACTGACCACTGCGAAAGTTGCTTAATTTCAACGATCGCAGCCAAACGCGCTAACCACTTGCGCCATCGAGCTTCTCCATTAGCACAATACACAAATGGAATGAAAGTAATTTTAATTGAAAAAAAAAGGTATGTGGCTCAGCATGTGACAATAATATAGTTTTAAATACTACTAGCAATTACATAGCATCTTATATTGTACTTGCCGTCTCGTATTGTTGTTTAAGGGACCACTGTTTACACCTTTGCTTAAAACAGCTTTCCGATATGAAATATAGACATATATAAACATATTAAAAGACTTTATATCTATCTTCTTTATATATTTATATATATATGTGTGTTCAAAAGCACAACACAATCAAAGGTGTTATTCAACTATGATGTCAGTGATGTTCTTCTCAATTATTTTATGTTACATGATTATTACTAACGCTCTAATTCCAGATGGCAAGACGCTACGCCCTATCTATGTATCTAAAATTTATATAATACTAGCTGTGCCCCGCGGTGTTACCCGCGGTTTATTAGGGATATTTTCCCGCAGTAAAACGTAGCTTAAGTGTTAATCAAGGGTGTCAGCTAACTCCATACCCGATTTTAATAAAATCGCTCCAGCCATTTAGACGTTAATAAGTAACAAACATACACACTCACAAACTTTCGAATTTATAATATTTCTGTGACTAGCTGTGCCCTGCGGTGTTAGCCGCGGTATGTTACTGATATTTTCCCGAAGTAAAACGTAGCCTAAATGTTAATCCAGGTTGTCAGCAAGCTCCATACCAAATTTTATTAAAAGCGCTCTAGCCGTTTAGTCGTGAAGAAGTAACAAACATATACACACTCACAAACTTTCGCCTATATAATATTAGTATGATTGCTAATCAATCAGTCAAAATTTTGTGTTTTGGAAAATGCTATATTTGTTATAATTATTTATCTTTTCTTATTGGAATGAATAAAAAATTGAGTTAGAAAAAACAATTGAAGAAAGTAATCACCAATTTCTGTCTTGGCCATGTTGACCTTAATTTTGAATCAATATAAAAATACTGCATAGAGCTTATTAAGGCCCATATTATACAAAGATTCTCAGTGATTGGTCTAGTCTTGAGCATACTTAGAAAGGGATGTCGCTGTATATAACACATAGCGACATCCCTTTCTACCTGTACTCAAGTAATCATAATCATAATCAATATCATTTATTCAGTTTAGGCTGTTACAAGCACTCATGAATGTCTAGAAGCTACGCCATCGGTTCGTAAATCTACGGCGGGAGACCTTGTACTGAGAAGAACCGGCAAGAAACTCAGCAAGGGCTGTTTTTTTTCCCTGTTTTATTATTTACAGAGTCGTCAAGTTGAAAAATGACTTCAGAGATGATTCATGAAGTCACCTTTCATTACATAATTATTAAATATACATTAATTGTTTACCTGCATTTTGATTGCTGTGTCAACCAGTATAAATACAAATAGTGTTATTTATATTAAATGTGACTAAACATTGACTTCAATATTAAGGGCAGACTCATCTCCGCGAGCAGCACCCGTTCACGAGCATGACGCATGAACCAGCCATCGCTTCGCTCAACCATATTTTAGGGAACGTAACGACCCGCCTCACACGACACCGCGGAAGAGACTATTAAGAGAGCATGACTAGTAAAGATCAACACTTAGTTTTCATTCTGTAATACGAGCCTAAGAAGAGTAGACGACAACCTTAAGAAGAGTAATGCCATCATCATTCACTGTCATTCGCAAATTCGACAATTCCACTGCTGTCACACGATAAATAAATATTAAAAATATCTGATTAAAAAACATTCATTTCGTGCAAACCATGAACGCTAAACTCATAGCCACGATAGTTATATTAGTGATGAATTTCAAAATTTGCCAAAGCAAGAGATACGACGGCTTCTCTTTGTTCAGCGTTATTCCCGAAGAGGTGGAACAGTTGAAGTTCCTTCAGAATCTGGAGAAACAAAAATACATTGATATGGTATTCTGGAAGAAACCTCTGAAATTGTATCACGAAGTCCAATTCATAGTCAGCCCTGCCGATACTAACCTTTTGGTTGAGAGATCGCGGCATTTTAAGATGAAAACTAACTTGATATTGCCGAATCTACAGAAGTAAGCAGAGAACACACACTGATAATATACATCAAAGTATTCACGGACCACACATCTGAAATAAAACTTCTTTTCTTTAATAACGTAACATTAGGCGGTGCATAAGGCATATAGCGATATAAAGCACGCATCTCTCAAATATATATTGACGCGTGTGAAGCTCCTGACGGTCGTAGCGTTTCAGCCTTTGCCGCATAACCCTCCCACTTTCATGCTCGTCGGGATGAGCTGCTCACGCATCCTACACTTTTTCTTTTTTTTTTGAGTGTGTATGCTGTTAGTCGCAGATGACCTTTACAGCGTCACCGGGTTTGGAGACGGCGAGATCCTAAGGGGACCTCAAGCCGAGAATTGGCGAGTGCCTCTAGAGATATTCCAAGCGGATGGCGTCTCCCCGCGGAGGGAGTCTCCTCTCTGTCTGGGGCCTCTAGACCACTCGAACCTGAGGGGGTCGGTTCAACTTGTGGGCGTCTCTGAGACTCGAACCTCGGCTCTAGTTAGCCGTTGTCGTGGGAACATCTGACACACATACATATACGAGTATACATATAGTCGTGTGACGCTCGTGATGTATTTCCGTTTCATCTTTTCCCTTTACACCCCAGTAGGAAAAGAATTTTCCCTTCAAAAACATCCGTTACACTTACCCATACTTGTAGTAGTTCGTTTGGCCGCATTATTAGTGTTACCTAGTGGGAAAACTGGGGGACTTGCAAGATGGGAGATATGAACTCTTTCAAAATTCTATAACTCTCTCACCTGGGTTCCTCCCAGTTTACTCCTAGTACTTACCTATATGAGTAGCTCCTTTTAAACAATTTGATATCAAAATTAACAAAGAAGTAGGTAGGCCTGACTAAACTGATTGATCAGATTCCATGGAATCAAATAAATCTAGGTCATGTAATTGAGAGGTAAACTTTTGTTAATATTTTCTCTCAAAACGTATGAAATGAACTTTATTATATAGCAGATTTTAAGTGTTAGGAGACTAAGCTTAATTAGATGATATATTTTGACATTAAAATCGTCTTTATTACTTAGCAATAAGAGTGATATTCTTTGTCAAATATATTCTTAATGACTATCCCTTGACGTGACTTTGTCAGTACCTCTTTGTACTCCACCAAAAATAATTTAAAGTTGAATGATATTTAAATGATAATAAAAGCACACTAAAACTGTATTAAAGGGCATTTGATGACCAACTCGTCAGAAGATATCTTCGTCTCAGAGTAGAGACCTACTCATGGGAATATTATCACACATTAGAAGATATTTACCAGTGGTTGACTGACCTAGCTTTGAAATATCATGATGGCGTGGATTTGATATCAATTGGCAACTCATCGGAGGGCCGTGATATATTGGCGTTGGTGATAAAAAACGGGGTTGGTAAAAAACAAGTACTGGTTGAAGGCGGTATTCATGGTAGCGAATGGATCTCAGTTGAGTTTGTCACATATTTGGCCCATCAATTGATATACAACAATACTACTGATCACCATCTGGCTGTACTTGCGAAGAATTTTAATTGGTTCTTGATACCAGTCCTTAATCCCGATGGTTTTGATTATAATCAGAAAGTTGTAAGTACTACTAGTGTTTTTTTTTATTTTACCCATATGCCTAAATTGATATTAGTTCAATTAATTAGTGCCAATTGTTACAGGATCGTCTATTTAGGAAGAACAGAAGCAATTTTACGGATGGCGTTGGTGTGGATTTGAATAGAAATTTTGATTATAGTTTTAGAAGTAAGTCGTGTTATTTTTATTCACTGTTTAACATTCAGGCATAAATTGATTTACTTCACTTAATCATGACTTAAGTTCCACTTCTCATGTATGTATTATTCATATAAATCTTCAGTGAAAAAAGGTAATCCTTTGCGTGCCTTAGATGGAATTAGAGGATAGACACAATAAAGTTAAAATATTTAGTTAAAATTTTTGTAAATCTAATGTATAAAATTCTCGTGTCACAATGTTAGTTACCATACTCCTCCAAAACGGTTTAACTGTATCTTATGAAATTTTATATGCATATTCAGTAGGTCCGAGAATCGGCTACTATCTATTTTTCATACCCCTAAGTGATATGGGTTATCCATCCCCTAACATTTTGATATTTTGGACATCTTTTTATAATTTGGCATTAAAGAATACATAGTCATAAATTTTCACCCTTCTACCACTAGCCCCTATTTTAATGGCGGTACGAAGTTCGCTGGGTTAGCTAGGATTTTTAAAAATTTCTGGGGATATGATAGCATTACAATGTTTTTTCTGCATAAAAATCTATAAAAAAATACACTAAGTATCAGAATATTAAATTTTCATTATATAACTGCTATTGTTGCAGAATTTGCAACAAGCACTTATGCTGATGATGAGGATTACGGTGGGCCTAACGCTTTTTCCGAGCCTGAGACGAAATCCCTCAAAGATTTCATAGAAAAGAAATTGAACCACTTGTATGCTTACGTCGCAATCCATAGTTATGGTCAGAAAATTGTGATACCTTATGGTGACAGAATAAATCATGTGGAAGATTATGCAGAAATGGTAAAAAAATATCATTAACATACTACAATTTGAATTGTTTTAAGTTTTAGTGCTTAGGCAATGAGAATTTTAGACAAAGTATTTATCAAATTGTTGCACGCAAAGTCCAGCCCTGTATGGAACTAATGCAAAAAATTACTCAATCAACGGTTGGTTTATAGGCTTTTACTATTTGCACTACAAGGTAGCAGCTGGCGTGTTTTGTTTTTCTATCACTTTTAGTCCATAATGTGAGATCGTCAAAAATAATTTATCTACATCCAAATATTTTTTGTTTTTTACTATCCATGGATTTTTTTACTGCATTATATGGTAGTGGGGGAGCCCAAGCGGGGATTTTGGATATACTCGAGCGTGGCAGAATAACATATGGGGAGCAACCTTGCACGTAGTCCCACTATACCTGAGCCATCTATGTAGGGCTGAACGTCTAGGGCAGCAAAAACAAAATTTCAACAAACGGCCATGACTTTTGGTCGGGTCCAAATCGTCAGTCTTTTGAATAGGAGCTACTGGAGGGTTCACATAACACCCCTTCTCAATGTCTGACGCGCTCGGTTAGTTTTTCCTATATTCTACCCCTTCGTACGGCCACCCCCATATCATGCAAACCGCGGCAGATCCAAATTTTTTCCGTTCTTAGAAACGTGACATGAACCCCTTAGTAGCTTATATTCAAAAGACTGACTATTTGGGCGCGACCAAAAGTCATGACCGTTCGTTGAAATTTTGTTTTTGCTGCCCTAGACGTTCGGCCCTACATAGAGGGCTCAGGTATGGTGGGAGTACTCAACTAGGTGAAAGGTTGCTCCCCATATGTTATTCTGCCGCGCTCGAGTAAATCCAAAAATCCCCGCTTGGGCTCCCCTACCATGGGATTTACAGTCGTTACTTGAAGTAAGAGCATCCAATTTCAACTGGGCGACCTAACCTATTTTTAGGTTTTAATAGCAAATGTTTATGGAGACGGTCCCAAACAAAATGAAATTCCCCGTTCAAGCTTTCGCCTACCGGTCGATATGAAAACGGAATATTCATGCAACATTTAAATTTCAAATGGGTTTTTGTTTTCAGGCAAATTACGGTAAACAAGCAATAGTGAAAATGTATAAATTATACAGCAGAAAATACAGCGTTGGTACATTTTACGATACTATGGGTGAGAGCGAAATGTCATTTTGTGGTGTCGTAAAAGATTCTTATTAAGTTTATAACTTATTGAGGCCTGGTTTTTTAATTCTTAGACAACTTTTATGAAATTATCAATCACAAGAAATGCCTGCCATTACAGTATTGCCAACTATTTAGAGGATTTTATGTTAAGAATTATCTGTTTTGATGTATTCAAACATGAGGCTGACACAAACTGATGTTAGCGGCCAGCATAAGACGCTTGCGTTAACAGCTATTATTATATATCCATCCCTTTTCACCATGAAGCTTTGTAAAACGTTATTCAATGCAGTAGTAACGATAAACCAAATAATTCTTACTCTTTTAGCCAGACGTTTTAAAAATCTGCTATATACCTATTTAAAATACTGATTAATTCATAAAAGTTATTCAAAATCAAAATAAAAATCAGCGCAAAATCTTAAGTCCTAATGCCAATCATAACTTATGTTTCATTATTTCATAAAAATTTCATATTTAATAACATTTCTAGGATTGAGAATTTCTGGAAACAGCGCGAGCTGGGTGAAGAGGAATTTCCAAGTCGAGTAAGTATCATTTGTATTCAGAATAAGTCGCTTATTTCATAAAAACGGAAAGCTAAATCAACTAATGATCTCCAACGAAATTCCTGAGGAATTCCGAAACAGATTGAAATCGTACGTTTCTTCTTTGCGAAATATTTTCGCCCTTTTAACTTCCGTTGTTTGATTTCATTAAGTGCTGGATGAGGTCTCGGATAAAAGAAAGGTAAGGAAAAAATCTTATCGGGGATTGAGTACATGTTATTTAATATAATGTTATGTATACTGGACGTGTGAGTTGGATTTACTAAGGCATTTTTTTGTTAATCAAGCATATAGCCCACCTAATGGTGATCACCTACCAGAAGTCTAAAGACCCTTCCAATACCGAAGTATCACACACGTTGCTATATTATTGTTAGGATACTGGCAGAAAATATTAAATGCGGCTTTTCTTTATTAAAGACTTTATTTTCCTTTGTTTTCATTGTAACTATTTTACTTTATAGCACAACACACCATTTTCAAGTATAGCAAAAACCAGAAGAAAAAATACTTTTTTATAACATAGATTACAAAACAAAAAGGCAAAGGGATTCAACTATTATAATGCCAAGTATTAAATCACATATTCTTAATAATTATCTTCGCATGCAACCTATACTATACCTACCTAATATAACCTAATAGGTATATTAGGTATGTTTAATATAGTACATATTTTCCTTTTACGTGATATAGATGGCAGACTTGCCACAACTGTAAGATGAAACATAACCTGCAAACTTTTGCGTTACTTAATTTTACGTACGAGACTTTTTTAGGGTTCCGTGAACCCTTGTAGTTTCGTCATGTCCGTCTGTCCGTTCCTACTTTTGCTTGGAGACTATCAACACTAGAGAGTTGTAATGTTGTGGAAATATGAATATCGATCACGCCGACAAAATGGTAAAATAAAATTTTGAAAAAAAAAATTTATAGAAAACATTAATAGTGACATAGATGCAGTTATTATAGCGTATATCTTGCACTGCAACAATATCTAAACAACACTATTCAAAAACCAAAATAAAATATCATTAGTTCCACAACGCTACCGCGAGTACCAAGTCGCGGAAACGATACGTTTTTATAAATCTGAAAAGATCAACGGTTATACCGCATCATCCCGTTCTTAGGGAACGATCGCATCAGATGAAGCTTGTAAGGTCCTTCTGGTCATAAACATGCGACTGCGGGTGTGTTTAGTCATTAAAAGTCTGACCTATCCTTGCAGCCGTCTGTAGGGTATTCTTGAGGATTTCACACCCGCAGTCCCGCCTGGGAGGAAGCATATTTCAAAACAAATTAATATCGAAATGATTTAAAGTTTGAGACGCAGTTTGACTTTGATTTAGGTATTTTAAATCTAAAGAAAAGTTTTACTAGAAAAATATAGATGGCGCTGCCTTGCAGCTTATGGCTAGGAAAATTTCGACGTGGCCATCAGGGCCGTTGTAGCATAATTGGTCAGTGCATTCGCCCGGATTGAGAAGGGTGCGGGTTCGAGTCCCGTCCGCTGCCTGGCCCGCGTGGATTTTTTTCTAGTAAAACTTTTCTTTAGATTTAAACATCTCGCAGTTAAATGATTAAAAATAAATAAAAACATTAGGTATTTTAGTTGAGATACGTATATTTTGATATTAGTTGATTTTTCTAATTTTCAATTTCAATTCGCAAGTCGAAAAACTGTCACTCTATCTTGTTGTTATTCTCAAGTGCTTAAGATATAATGAGGCTATAACATGATTTAGTTGGAATTTTATATAAACAACTTTGGTCATACGTTAAGTAATGGTTAGCGGTTCTTATTAATTTTTATTATTTCCCTAGTCGCGTCTTCTCTCTACTTATGCGGGACAACGGGTCGTATGGCTACGCCCTTCCACATGACCAGATAATACCTGCGTGTAAGGAAGCTATGGTTGGTATGCTGGAAGTATTGACGACGAGACCTAGGTACTTGAGAGCCGATCCGTTCAGCTCGTCACGCCGAGGGCAAGAGTTTGAAGGAGTTTTCATATTTTGGATGTTGTTTGTTTCCATGATGTTAAAATAAATTATGAAGATTTTGCGTTGTTTACATTTATTAAATGGATAGACTTCTTTCGGGCTAAAACAGAGGAGATGGACAGTTACCAAGTTTTATCGTAAAATTATCTGGAACAAAAACTGCAGGTAATAAAATCTAATATATAAAATTCTCGTGTCACGGTGTGCGTGATTGAACTATGTACTCGGAAACGGCTCGACTGATTTTTGGTGAAATTTAATACATATTCAGTAGTTCCGAGAATCGGACAATATCTATTTTTCATCCCCCTAAATGTTAAGGGTGAACCACGCTTAATTTTTTTTTTGGACAAAATTTTTTGTTTTTTTTTTGTTTTTTTATGATACATCATACAAAAATACATGCAACCCTAAATTTTCTCCCTTCTACCACTAACCCATATTTTTTTATGGCAGTACGAAGTTTTCTGGGACAGTTAGTTATCTAAAATAAAGGATTTTTTTTCTAATTTACTTTCCCAAGAGTTATTGAGATACAATGACTGAAAAAGTTGTAAGCGACATATTAAGCATAAGTACATCATGTATATCTTCTCTGTAGGTAGCTGTAATACAAGTAAAAATATTTTTCTATCGGTGATTGTAATAAGATAACCAAGTATGGCTTGGTTATCAGATAGAACCAAAAGATTGGGATTTGGTCGACAATACAAAAGAACCAATTCAGATTTGACTCCTACCTGCGCCGGAAAAACTGCTAAACACACTTGTTTGTAACTGTAAAAAGGAATGCAGTGCTAATTGGGGTTGCAAAAAAGTTTGCAAACTGTTTTGTTCTCTGGCATATACGAATTTTCAAGGCCGGTCGTGTTCCAATGTTAAATCATCAACAGTAGAGGATTCGCTTGCAACGAAGTCTTGCGATATATCACGACTGACGCAATTCACTAACATCCATGATGAAGAAGTAGAAGCGGATCGTGAAGAAGAAGAACAAGAAGAAGTAAAGAAGATTATGAATCGGAAGAATAAATTTTCCTACTGTTTTTTAATTTCCATCGCTTTTATTAATTCCAACCCTTGCTAATATTTTTTATTATGCAATAAGTTCCAATTACACAGAATCACAACAGACCAGACCACAAGAGAACCATAGAAGCCACATAATTTTTTTAAAAGTACCGGAACGATGAAGTATTTTGAAATGTTATTTTTAATTATGTTTTGACCAATTTTACTCGCATCCAGCTGGATGGTAATTTGTGTACCTTCGAATGTCTAGATTGATCGGATTAATTGTTCAGTCTGCTATTTTAAATAGCTGGTCATAATAATACATGACGCGAAATTCGTTATCTTGAGTTCCAGCATGCTTATGTGCACTCGATAATTTTAGGTAGGTATCAAACAGTATCAAAAAGGTATTGAGCAACATGCAGGCCGGCGAGGTGAGGATGGCTGGTGTGGCAGGTATAACTGCTGTACCAGCTATCTTCACGTCTGGACTTCACCGTCACTTAACATCAGGGGAGGCGGTCATTTTTCGGACCTCTCTATAAAAAAAAATAATAATAAAAAGTAAACACACGGGCGACAGACCTCCTTTGCATGGTTTTAGTTTTAATTAGGTGTTTTTTTACGCACGTTCGATTTTTAAAAACTAGACGCGGCTACGCGCCATTTGTAGTTGCTGGAAAAAAATGTGTAAAAATTTTGTTTTGCGTATTAATTAGTACTTGTTAGAGCAACAGTGGACCCGTCAGTTAGAGCAAACGCCCATTTAGCCACTAAACACGAATCACGTGGCGCAGTCAAGCCACTAGACGCAACTACCTCGATCGAGAGAAATGGAGTGGCCGCCACTAAGTAGCCGATTAGTGGCTCAATGTGCGCTTGCTCTTATGATCCGTTCCATGTCAGTACACCCTATTGTATCCATAATAGCAACTAGGGTAAACAATGAAGGCAACATAGGGAACAAATTTTCTGATTCAGGATTAAATTGGAATATGATATTCTTTATATAAATAAACTAGTGGCCCGCCCTCGCTTCGCTTCGGTGTAGAGCTGTAGTGTAGACTATAGTTTTTGCTGTCAGGCTTGTATTATACACAATGACATTCTTCTAATACCTAATTAAAATAGGCACGTGCCGCCAAGCCCCCCGCCCGGTAGCGTCGGAACCGCTATGTCCCTTCATTTTAAATCTGTAATATCTTCGAAAATATTCACTTAAATCATACGGTGTAAAGGGCCATATAGATCTATATTAAGGTTGATTCTGTCGTTTCGTGCAAATTGGAACTATTCCGCGTAATAAAAAAAATAAGCATATAGTAAATATATTTTATATGTAATAGAATTCACATTTTTAATGGATTTATAAACAGCAAAAGGCACTTTGTTTTCATATTTAGTAACTGAAATTAACAACTGGATGGTAATGAAAAAGATATTTGATTGGATGGTAATGCAAATAGAACTGATGGTAATTTTTCTAATGGATAGTAATGAAATACTTTCTAATAACTGTATATACTGTATACTAGTATGTAGAGGTTGTAATAATTTAGTTAATTAAAAGGAAAAAAAGAATCCGTAAAATCACTGTTTTTATTTCTATTCAGATTATTACAATTACAATTCAGTCTCCAAAAATCAACAATAATAGAAGAAACATTTTTACAGTTTTTATCTGATTATGTAAATGTTTCTTAGCCAAGTCGTTTCATATAGTCCAACATAATTAGCAAATAAAACAATACTAATAATAACACTCTTAGATCTCTTATTTGTGTACTTCAAAACAATAATATTTATCTTACAAATCTACTGAAAACTTTAGAATAATAACAAAAGAATAAAAATCTTCTAAAATGTTTAACAAAATATTGATGTACCTCACTCTCAGACTAAACAATTTAAAGTTAATCAAAATAATCCACCTTGATATTACCTCAGCCTTGGGTGCACTGGAAAACTATGAAAAACCACATACATAATTTGACGTATTTTAAGTGCGTCGGCTCGCCCTTAAAAAATATTATAATCATCACTGTCAGAATCATATCTGTTATATCCAATGTAACCTTTGTCCTTTTTATCTGAACTATTTGATTGAATAAATTTTTCGAATTCCTGTTGATGTTCATGATTTAATGTTGATCCTACGTTTTGTGGAGTTACATTTTCCTTTGGTTTCTTATAAATTTTTTTATTTTCCCAATGGAATCGTACCTCAGATAAAATTTTGACTTTAGGAGATCTGATCGATGTCGGATGTCTAGTTTTATTAACCAATGGCGTAAGTTGCAAATCTATTGGATCTCTAAGAAACTCTAAGCTTTTATAAATATCTGATTCATCTAGGTTATTTAAAATTGCAGACGTACTTAAGCTTATCATGGACTCATTGTCATTTTTATTTATAGAGTTATTTTGATCACACTGAATAACTGACGCATCTTCCTCCATTTGTCCATAGTTATCAAAATGAAGAAAGCCTAAATGATTATTATGTATACAAGGATTGCTGCTATTTTCACACTCGAAACAGCTAAGTTTTCTCAAAGCTATAGTTTTATTATAATCAGCGGACCAAATTACTTGGTGAACGTGCATTGTACCTTTAAAACCTGGAACATCAGGTGGATTTTTTTTTTCATTGATATCATTTTCTGTTATGATCTCAAAATGAACGTTTGGTATATTTTTGGTCACCAACGACCAAAAGTCTTCAAAATAACCAACATCTCCACCATATCTGACAAAACTATCAGCAGTTCTTTTTACAACTGCACCGATACCGTCTGGAGCTCCCTTCCCATGTCCAGATTCTTGATAGTTCCATGATACTTTTCTTATATTGGGGTTAAAATCTCTTAATTTTGTAATCACATAAAAAATATTCTTATTTCGATATTGGCTTGAAGGCGAATCGGACAAAAAATGTAATGTTTCATATGGTGCCAATGTTCTAGCCATCTTCAAAATAGGACATATATGAGCCCATATGGCTCCTGCACCATGTTGCAAGCAATCGCTAATAGTACAAAACGATTTGGTTTTAAGTGTACCAGTATCACAGTCTTTATAGTAAAGAACCCCAGTGTGCAAGGATACTTGTTCCCTGCTTCCTCCGAAATGAAAGGATTGTATCTCCTGATTATATTTCAAACAATAATTTTCGCTAAAATCAACGTGTATTATCATCTCTTTATCTTTTAAAGATTGCTTTAATTGTTTAATAGCTTCGTATTGCACTATAATGTTAAGATTGTGTTTGAAAAATGTAATTAAAACGGATTCTAATTTCTGAATAACATTTCGCGGATAATCTTCAATTTTTTTTTTATTGTAACAATTTTTATTTTTTGCTCTTTATCTTTCACTGTATATGGCTTTTTCTCTACAATCCATTGATAAAAAATAATTTTTTCATCATTTTGAAATTCATGGTAATTTAAAACTTTACTCGCACAAAATTTACATGTGCGTTCCAAACATTTTCTTTTTGCTTCACAACAGAGGCTATTGATAACGTCTGTACCAGTACTTTCGGAAATAATCTTCGCATTTTTCAGAGACTTAATCAAATAATTAACATTTGAATGCAATTTGCACTGACAAGTATCTCGATCTACTTTAGGAAAAACTACCCAAAAGGGTCTATATTTACAAAACGTGGAATAGCTTATTATGTAATGTTCCCTTAAGAACTTAGCATGAAGGTTTTTTAAATTATCGGTTAAGTAACGCTTTTGTTTTTTCTCACCTGTCTTCTTTATAAATTCTCTTTTTCCAGCTGCAAATCTACTGTTTGTATCTTCTTCAAAAAACGATTGTATTTGGTTAATCATTATTTGTTTTGTACTTACTGTTACATTTTTCTTTCTTCGGGAAAATGGCAAGCTATGAAGCAATTTGTATTTTCGTAATCTTCTATCATCTTTTATTATTGTGTCTGCAAAAATCTTTTTCTCTTTTTTAGTTGTAGTTTGATAGCTATCTTGTAAATTTTTTGATATAGATTCGCTGAAGAGCAGTTTCTTTTTTATTTCCTCTTTCCTTTCTGATCGTATGTCAGTCAGTACTTCTTCTACTTTTTTTTCAATAGAGTCAAATACTTTAAGAGGTGCATTACTTCGTTTACGTAATGCATCCTTCTCTTTTTCTAGCTTATTAATTTTATCTTTCAATTTCTTAATTGTTTTAAAATACTTATAGCGCATACGCCTTATTATTTTTTTCGATTTAGTTACTTGTACAGATGTGCTTTGATTTGGTGCTGGTTCATCAAGTATCAAGGGGTCTAGTACAAGAGGTTCCTGATTAACAAAATCACCTGAGTCACTCGGGGGAGGTGAGTTTTCTACCAATATCTTCTCTAATCTAATATTTTCTGCCTTCTTTTGTAAATACTTCTGTGAATTTTTCCGCCAACGTCTTCTTTGCTCTCTTTGTGCCCTAGGGGTCATATCTTTAATGCTACAAATCTTTTTCTTCTCTTTTCTCGCTAAATATCTGCTTCTTTCTTTTTCTTTTTGTAGCAAGTATAACTCGGGATCATTTTTAATTTGAGCATAATTTTCTCGTTTTCTTAGTCTATCTTTTGCCAGCTTTTCTTCTCTTGATAATTTTTTACGAGTTTTAGCCATATTAATACTGAAATAAAATTATAATTAATATGTAATAAATTTATTTTTGATAACGTATTCATTAATATAGAATTCATTACACGATAATGTATTTACTGTTATCGTTATCTTTCTCCCAGTACCAGATCAACACAATTAGTGAGATATAATTTGCGAACCAGGGAGTGATATAGTTCAATAAATTAAGTTAAAAAACACAAAGGATCCGTTATCACCAAACATAAAATATGATGAAATGCCCTTCGATAAATCATTTTGAATTGTAATTCAGTACGTGGTTTAAGTATCGTAAAGTTTATGTAATTCAGTACGAGGAGTTCGATGGCGCAAGTGGTTAGCGCGTTCGGCTGCGATCGTTGAAGTTAAGCAACTTTCGCAATGGTCAGTCATTGGATGGGTGACCATAAATTTACTATCTCGAGCTCCTCCGTGCTTCGGAAGGCACGTTACGCTGTTGATCCCTGCTGCATCTGCAGTCGTTAGCAACCACCAATCAGCGTGGTGGGTCGTGACCCAATCTTCCTATTCCATCCATAGGGAAGGCCTGTGCCCCAGAAGTGGGGACATTAATAGGCTGATGATGACGTTAAACCACGTAGAAAATAATAATATATTCATTTCCCTCCAAAACTCTTCATTATCATCAGTCTAAAAATTGGAAGGAATGGATGGTAATGATGTGGATATGAATGAATAAATAAAACATTTTCATTGACAGAATCTTAACCGAATAAGTAAGAAACTCGGAAATTGAGACGGATTAAAATGAGACCCAGAGATAAGCATATTAAGTGATTTTAATAATTTACTTACCAAAGTATCGTGTAAAATCAATGGAATGTGATGAAGCGATTTCTGTACAAAGCACTACTGACGACTCGAAGATCGTAAATAATTATGGCATAGACTAGCGCACGTCCACCTCGCTGCTTGCTCACAGTGTACTGACCAGTAAAAACACGTTGTAACCTAAACATCTTCGAAATCGAACGAATAACCTACTAAATTAAGAAGTTTCTGGGTACGGATGTGGATGAAATTTTTATAGTGACAATTAGAAATATTAGGTTTTCTGTTAATTTAAATTGATTGAATATTACATAAACATGTATAATAATAGTTTAAGAGTTTAACTATAATATTGTATCATAAGTTAAGCAATTAATTAGAATATAGACGTACAAACATTAAAGTTCCCGCCAAGGAATTCTGTTGGAAACGGATAGTAATGATTTTACACTAGGTTTTTATTTATTATCTATAAAAATATTAAACAATCATGCAATATTAATGGTACTCCCTTGAAAGCGATTATGCTTTTACTTATTATGCATATAAAAGTTAACATTAAACAATAAATTCACGAGTAAATAGCCTGGATATCCTTTTTGCACGAAACCACGGAACTACCCTTAAATGAACAATGTATTCAAGGTATTTAATTGGTTAAGGATTAATGCTGTATTGGTTAAAATCGCTTCGAAAATTAGCCATTATTTGTCGTAAAAAGTAAATGACAAAAAAAAGTTATTGTGGGTTATCCATAAGAGATAGACATATACCATCACGGACTTTTCTGTAGACCTTTTCAATATGTACAATACTTAGTACATTATTTTGATAAAACTCGTAGGGTTCAGCCTGGGTTTGCAATGTAAGCGGAAAAAATGTAATTATTTTCGACATCACATTAGAAACCTCAAAAATAACAGTACTTCTCCACTATTTAATGGATGTTATTATACATATAAACCTTCCTCTTGAATCACTCTATCTATTAAAAAAAACCGCATCAAAATCCGTTGCGTAGTTTCAAAGATTTAAGCATACAAAGGGACATAGGGACAGAGAAAGCGACTTTGTTTTATACTATGTAGTGATATATATTTCCAAAACTTACACCAATTAGCCTAGCTAGCCCCAAAGTAAGCACTATAGGCTTGTGTTATGAGATATTAGGGTAACGGATACAATACTTAAACTGATACATATATGTGTATATTTATATAGAAACTAGCTGACCCAGCGAACTTCGTACTGCTTACAATAATTTGATTTATATGGACAAATGAAATTGTATTTTTACTATCTTTGGCCGTATACAGAAAAGAAGGTGGAAGCCGACCAGCGCTTATCAGCGCTTCTCGGCGCTGGTAACAGTTACATAAAGGAAGCAGATTGAAGCGTAGTTGTTCATTAATTTCAAAGGGCGGTGCCAGCGCTGACTAGCGCTTTTCGGCACTTGTCGGTGCTTATCAGCGCTGGTCCATAGAAATGCTTGCGCCGATTACCGGCAAGGACCAGCGCCGACAAGCGCTGATAAGCTCTGATCGGCTTCCAGCTTTCTTTTTGTATACGGCCTTCCTCACAATTTTTCAATATTTTCTCACCTTTTAAACCTTCTCTAGACCTCCACGAACATTTCAAGACCAAGATAAAATAAATCCATTCAGCTGTTCTCGAGTATTAGCGAGACTAACGAACAGCAATTGCTTTTTATATATATATAGAAGATACGTATTAAACACCCAAGACTGGAGTACAAATGCTCGTGTTAATCACAGAAACGTCTACCTCCACCGGGATTCGAACTCGGGACCTCTCGAGTAGGCAACACCTTGAAAACCGGCGTACAAACCGCTCGGCCACGGAGGTCGTCAGTTAGATATTATATGTTACAATAAGTATAGCATATTTTTTGTCATCCATGGAAACAAAAAGATGACACGTTAGGCTGGAAACAGTGCTCGACTGACGGTTAGCGCTGACCGTCGTAGTGACTTGGTACGCGCGTACGGTAGGTCGAGCCGTCGGTCCGGCTCGTCGGTTGCGCGGACGTCGGTCGACCGACGAGCTATGAGATTGTATGGATACGTACGTACACTTAAAGCAAAATTTATTTTGATACAGAGCGCCTCATTACTGAAGTGCGGTTTCGTCCGTCGTCATTTCAATAGATTGGACAGAAACTCGAAATATATTGGAATGTTTCAAAGTATCATGTTACCTTGCTTGTAGTTCATCAATACTTCTTATTGACATGTTGAAATAATCAAAAATCTTTACCTTATCTTCCTGCAATCTCGAAAATAGTTTGCGGAATTCGCCTTCAAGTAACCTTTTTACAAGTATTGGGTGTACATGATATCTTCGGCGCCTTCTATTCCGTCGTTTGCGCAAAAAATATCGTGCACAATGCACATATTAGAGCATTTACAGCAAAAGGGTTCATTTTTCTCGTTTTTCTCGTGAACTGTTCACACGCGTCGCTATTCGCCGTCAGCGTAACACTGAATGCATTTTTGCAACTGACGGTCAGCGCTGCCGGTCAGGACCTACCGTCGGTCGAGCACTATTTCCACCATTAGTCATAGACTGTACCATGGAGGTTAGAGACAAGGAAAACGATCGGTGTAGAATATAGTGTCCTAGAAATATGGACAAAATAAAAGTGAGGCGCTGCGATCACTAAGTTGTCTCAATAAAAGCGGGCTAATTTGAAATGACCAATGAAGAAAATTTGTACATTATTCAACTAACTTCATCTGCTCTCATAAACAGCTAACTTCACAGATACTACTTAACGACGGAAGCGCGGCTGGTGTCTGAAAAATGAACTATAAATTTTACAAATCTTCAGGGTCAGGCGGGCAATACTTTAGCATGTAGCGATCGTTCTACTTCTCTCTAGCCTCCATGGACTGTACTTATTTGACTCATATGTGCTATCTACAGCTACACATAGAGCAACACGACCGACATCAACACGTATCTAAATCATTTTAGCGTCAAGTCTAAGGTCAACTCCATATTACGTCCATGAGTCCAAAAATTATAGCTGTCATTTTCTATGACTTTTATTTGAAGTAAGCAAAAATGAGAAATCGCTGAGGCTGAATCTGAATTGATAATAATATTATTGATTTTACAATCAGGCAAATTTTAAATATAACATTTGATATGTTTAAATTTTGGACAGTTTCTGTTATTTTTGTATTCAGTTATTTTATCAAATCACATGAGTGCATGAAGTACTCAAATTATACTTTGTATAGAGGAATGCCAGTGAATGAGAAACATTTAGAATTCTTCAGGAATCTAAGTGATATGTACGATGTTAATTTTTGGACCCCTCCCGGGAACCTTAATAAGCCCGTAGACTTTACCATAAAGCCTGAAGACCAGGCGGGTTTCTTGAAGAAAGCTGATGAAAATGGTATCTATTTGTCTACGATAATGCGGGACATCCAAAGGTTTGTATAAATTTACGATATTTAAATTATTATTTTAAATTTATTTGCACTTTTAATAATAGAATTTTCAAAATGACCAATTGAACCTGTAGTAATAAATGAATTTACAAAATGACCAATTGAATTTATTTAATGTGTACCTAGTATGTTATTTTGTTCAGTACTTGTACTTCTATCTAAAGTTGTCACTCATATCTAAGTTTGTGTTTTGTTATATAATTGCTTTTTAGAGCATTCGATAAACAAACAGTAAGGAGTTACATAAGGCGCAACATGGAGTCCTTCAATTGGCAAAGCTATTTTAGATTTAAAGATATCCATAACTGGTTGATCGACCTACAGAAAATGTACCCAAAAGAGTTACAACTTATCGAAATAGGAAAATCAGCTGAAGGAAGAAAGATGATAGCTGTTAAAATTATTTTAATAGGATCTAAGCGAAGGTATTAATTTTCATTAGATTTCCAGTTTTTTTATATAGCTACGTAGGTAAATGACTCTGCCCCACCTGATGTTAAGTGGTGGTAAAGTTCAGACGCAAAGATAGCTGGTACAGCAGTTATAAACTGTCACACCAACCATCTTCACCTTGCCGATCTGTAGAAATACTAAAATCAATTTCAGTTGCTTTCTTTCATAAAATATGGATTCGGGAACAATGCAGGTAAAAAAATCAAGTCGGTCATCGGAATGTGCCTTTCAATTAGATGGCAAAATCTCTTTACCATCACCTCACCCCCCGTATATAAAATAAAAGCAATCAGGTTGAGCAAATATTATATACAATTAAGTGTTGAACTCAAGCTGAAAAACTCTCTGATGTAGGTAGCCTCTTATATGAAGATGGTTACGGGATTTAGTTGGGATCCAGTTGTTACGCCACTAAGGTTGAGTACGGTATATCTTCTGCGATGACGACGACGACTTGACTCTACTAACAATAACAATTAGTATTAAATAGGATGGGTTAATTTGCTGCTCCTTATAATGAACTAGCGGCACGTCCTCGCTTCGCTTCGGTGTAGAGCTGAAGTGTAGACTACAGTTTTTGTTTTCAGGCTTGTATTATACACAATGACACTCATCTATGATTCTTCTTATACCTGCATGCAAAATCTCAGCCCGATCGGTTTAAAATTGACAAAGTTTCATGCAAACTTTTATTCACTATTTTATCCCCTTGGGGGTGGAATTGATCAAAATCCTTTCGTAGCGGATGCCTTCGTCATAACATCTACCTGCATGCCAAATTTCAGCCCGATCCGTCTAGTGGTTTGGGCTGTGCATTGATAGATCACTATGTCAGTCATTCAGTCACCTTTGAGTTTTATACAGGGTGTTACAAAAATACAAATAAATCTTGAAGGGCATTGAAGTACATCATATAAGGAATCTTCTCTAATTTTCTTTATTACAGCAGATTTATTACTACTCCTGGTATGGTGCATGGACCTCGAACTAGTGACGTGTCTTAAAATGATCGATATTTTTATTAATCATTAAAAATAACTGTTTTTATAAAAAGTTCAAACTACTTGCAAATATTTTCTTCTTCAGTCTTTACACTATCGGCCAGCATAGCCTATATACGCTTCCGATACAAGAAATATCACTCGCGTCATTGCCTACCCTACCCCGTGCAGCATTGAAACTACTCACCAACAGAAACATAACATCACCAAAGGTAGTGTGGTCTTCTGTAAGTTGAAGGTTATTTCCCCCGATGGGAGCTCATGCTCCATTACCTTTGAGCGGTAAATTAGCTATGCCTCTTCCTCTTCTCTTCTTCTTATCACCATCTTATAATATATCCTCCGCACAGTAAATATTTTAACGGTATTAAATATCCTGGATACACCACGTCCGCTCAAAATGTGTTCCAATCAAGAAGTACTTGAACACGACTCAAGCACTTCTTGGTTCAAAATCACGCGCGGACCGTTCAAAAATCAAGTTGCCACAGAGCTCCGTGAAAAAATGTGAAAAGAATACTTAAAGTATGTAAGTTTCCTTTTTTCGTCAGGTATCTAATTAATGTTTGTGAATGTTGTAATACTTATTAAAAACTGATTTATTATAATAAAAATAAATATGTTATGTAATAATAAATATATAATGAAAATATTTATGATATTCAAATGCATAGTCGGTAATATAGCCGTCTCTTTTCCTAGCGGTCCGTACCTGCTATATTGCCAACAGGGTTATATTCTTTCGCATATATCAATAAGTCGTAAAATTTTACGAGCTTACATTTGGAACTGTCATAACTCTTTGACGCATGCGTTTTAATTAAAACATTATACTGAAAGCATTAAAGGTGACTTTCAATGTTTAAACAATGCCTTATATTATTTTTTACTACGTGATCATCTTACGGAGTTCCGTGGATCTTCTAATGTACCTTTTGGACAGGTTTCGGGCACGATTTTATTCGTGTTGTTGTATCTAGGGTATTTAATATCGTTGCTCTCTGCGGATAACGTGCTCCTACGCCATGTGTTAATACTTGCTCATAGTACATGTGATTAGGCTGATGCCAATATTACTGCTGTCAATGCCAAGCATTTCAATGTTTTCGAAACAGGTCTACGGTCATAGTTGAAGGAGGCATACATGCCAGGGAGTGGATATCGCCAGCTTTTGTCACTTTCATGATATACAAAACTATCACCGCTCCGAAGTCTAATGACAAAGAATGGAAAGCCGTCGCGCTAACTTACGAATGGTATTTCCTGCCAGTTGTAAACCCTGATGGATACGAGTACAGTCACACGGAAGTAAGGCTTTTCAGTTTCTATTTAAGATACTAAAATAGTAGATTAGTGTAATCAAAATTCGCAGAACCATTATCAATAACCTAGAATTTTTGGACGAAAACTTCCGTTTCGTATAAAATATTTTACTTCTGTACTCCTAGCACGAACCAATATCGAATTCGTATCGTTTGCGAGTCCGAAATGTCATTGTCAAATATGTACTGATTTTTAGATCTCGTTACGTACTTTGTGCCGCTGCTGTTCAAGTTTTCATACAAAATTTGACATTGACATTTTTGTTTGCAAACTATTCGAATTCGATAATGGTTCGTGCTTGGGGTACTGAAATTTCCAGTTCGGAATTTAAATAATTTGCAATACATTCGTAGGCACTATTTATTGTAACATTACGAAGAGGTGAAATTCTGTGAGGTTGTATGGATTTGTGGAACCGATTTTGAAAATTCTTTAACCAATAGAAAGCCACGATATTTATTAGTGTCATAGTCATAGACTATATTTAATCCGAATAATGAAAAAACTATAACGCGTACAAAGTCGCAGGATGTCGCTAGTTTAGTAATAAAGGCATAAGGGTAGCAAGCTACAATTTTCTTTCAAGTAGCTATGCGGCTTTGCTCGTAGACGGTATAGACCACATATTGGTCTATCTTACCCACTCTGATCCTTTCCCTGTATCACTGTGGTATGTTCACTCACTCACTCAAATCAGCTATGCCTTACTTCCTGCCTACGTTAAAGTGAAGGTTCTATAGCGAATTTTGTGATATCTTCTTTGTCAACAGGATAGACTTTGGAGAAAGAATCGAAACGATCCTAGTGTTGACATAAATAGAAACTTCGACACTGCATTTGGAAGTATGTTGAGTTTTAATACTTATAAAAATTCTTGATATAGTCGAATAGGTGTACAAAGATAATTTGAGAATGGCATCTTTCAAATTTACATGACAGAGACCACCTTTTACTATCGTTTCTGAAAAATTACCTGGGGATAAAGTTAAATAGGAAATGATTCTGCTGTTGGGTCCTTCTATAAGAGAAATAATGGATTGTGATGAATAAGGATATAATAAAATTATACAATTGTAATAATATTGTTGTTCGTCCGTTCGCGCCGTGGTCGTGGTAGGCAAGTAGATGCCGAAAGTAAGAACAAAGTAGCTGTTTCTCACCAGCTGTTCCTGGGGTACCAGCACCTTATAATAAACTTTTTCTTTTCAGTGACAAATTTGATTCATCATCATCATCAGCCTATTAATGTCCCCACTGCTGGGGCACAGGCCTTCCCTATGGATGGATTAGGGATATTGGGCCATGACCCACCACGCGGGCCAAGTGCGGGTTGGTGGGTGCTAACGACTGCAGACACCAGCCGGGACCAACGGCTTAACGTGCCTTCCGAAACACCGAGGAGCTCGAGATAGTAAAGTTTTGGTCACCCATCCAATTACCGACCACTGCGAAAGTTGCTCAACTTCAACGACTGCAGCCGAACGCGCTAACCACTGGCGCCATCGAGCTCCTCCTCCAAAAGTCGATTGATTGTATTTAATTCCATTTTTCAATACTCGAAAACATAATGTTTCACTTTGCACTTACTAACATTGAAAATTGACTCATCATCATCATCATCATCAGCCTATTAATGTCCCCACTGCTGGGGCACAGGCCTTCCCCATGGATGGAATAGGGAGATTGGGCCATGACCCACCACGCGGGCCCAGTGCGGATTGGTGGGTGCTAACGACTGTAGATGCAGCCGGGACCAACGGCTTAACGTGCCTTCCGAAGCACGGAGGAGCTCGAGATAGTAATTTTTGGTCACCCATCCAATGACCGACCACTGCGAAAGTTGCTTAAGTTCAACGATCGCAGCCGAACGCGCTAACCACTTGCGCCATCGAGCTCCTCAAAATTGACTAATAATATAATATTATATTTATTTCTTTAACGTTGCAGCGATTGGTGTTAGCTTCCAGCACCAATCTGACACGTATTGCGGCAAACACGCCTTCTCCGAGCCAGAAGCTATGGCGATGGCGAATTTCATTAAACAGCGTAGCAAATCTCTAGAATACTATATAAGTTTCCATTCGTACGGACAGTATATGATCATACCTTACGCTCATTTGACTACTCACGAGGACAATTACGATGAAATGGTGAGGACGATCAGCTTGTTTAACTATTAAGCCTAAAAAATTAATTCATCAGCCTATTAATATCCCCACTGTTGGAGCACAGGCCTTCCCTATGGATGGCATAGGGAAGTTGGGTCATGACTCAACACGTGGGTATCCAGTGGGTGCGATTGTAGATGCTGCCGGAACCAAAGGCTTAGCATTGTAGTGTAAGAATTTAGACTTATACCGTAACATATAACCATTGACTCCTACATGCATACTGTTGACTTAACACTTATAATATAAACTGACGACCTCCGTGGCCGAGTGGTTTGTACGCCGGATTTCATGGCGTCGCCGACTCGAGAGGTCCCGGGTTCGAATCCCGGTGGGGGCAGCTGTTTGTGTGATGAACACGAGCATTTGTACTCCAGTCATGGATGTTTAATATGTATTTCTATATAAATATACTTATATATGTAAAGTAGATGTATTCTATCCGTTACCCTAGTATCCCATAACACAAGCCTTATAGTGCTTACTTTGGGGCTAGGCTAATTGGTGTGAGTGTTGGAAATATTTAATTATTATTTATTTATTTTAAACGTAGTTACAAGAATTTACTAACCCGACGCCGTACAATAAACATGTGTCTATAAAACATCTCTCTCATTCCTCGATACCGAACCCACGACCAAGGGGAGCTTCCTCCATCATCCGTCTACCATCAGATCTTACATCCTAATATATCACGTGGCGACTCTACAACATCTACGATATTACAACGTGCCTTCTGAAGCACGAAAGAGCTCGATATAGTATATTTTTATTTAGCCATCCAAGGACCGAACATTGCGAAAGTTGATTAACTACAATGATCGCAGCTGAACGCGCTAACCACTTGCGCCATCGAGCTCATTACAACTTTGCACTATAGAACAAACGCAGCCAGGAGGGTAGTAGGCATAGACAGCTTTCCCCTCTGTCAAATTGGACATACTCACAATATAAATATGTGCAGGATTTGACGTTGTATTATGTCATTGTTTATGTGTGAGTGTCATAATTACAGTTTTGTTTTTACGCATGATATTAAACTGCATTTGTATGCATCTTACCCCCGCAAAAAATACAGAATGATTTGAATATTATTATGTCGCTATGGCTACTGCCTTCCGTGTTGCTCTATGCTTGGGTCGGACAGATTGACAGCTTAAGTTAAATAAATTAAACTTTAAACTATAAAGTAAAAGAGTTGTTAAACTAAACTAAATCTGTTGCAGAAAGAAATAGGAAAGCAAGTTGAAAAGAAGATCTCCAGAAGATTTAATACAAAATATCTTGTAGGAACAGCCTATGATACTGTTGGTATGAAAAGAAATTTAGACTTTTTGTATGAAATGAAATGAAATGAAAAGTCATTTATATTATTTTATTATATTTATATTATTATAGTATAACTTCTAGGAGGAGTGGGAGTTGAATCAAACGAATCAGAAGAAATCGTAGCCTAATGCAGATTGGTGGATGACAACGACTGGTCAACATGAATTCTGAAGCACTGGGAGATAATAAATGCTGGGTTACCCATCCTATGAACAGGCCATTGCAAAAGTTCCTTTACTTTCACGATCCCAGATAGAACGCGCTAACAGAAAGTAGCGACTTTACCTCTTTTTACATATGTTACCTCTTTTTAATTAAAAAAACAAGTTTCAACGGGTTAGATTTTATTTATATGGTTATATGTATACATAAATAAAATCTAACCCGTTGAAACTTGTTTTTTGAATTAAAAAGAGGTATGGCGATACGAAGTTCGCTGGGTCAGCTAGTATACAGTAGCTGACCTAGCGAACTTCGTATCGCCATAAAAATATGGGTGGTAAAAGGGTGAAAATTTAGAGCTGTACTTATGTACTTTAAATGCCACATTATTAAGTTATATTTATAGGTTAAGACGACCTCCGTGGCCGAGTGGTTTGTACGCCGGGTTTCATGGTGTCGCCGACTCGAGAGGCCCCGGGTTCGAATCCCGGTGGGGCAGATGTTTGTGTGATGAATACGAGCATTTGTACTCCAGTCATGGATGTTTAATATGTATTTCTATATAAGTATACCTATATGTGTAAAGTATATGTATTCTATCCGTTTCCCCTGGTATCCTATAACACAAGCCTTACAGTGCTTACTTTGGGGCTAGGCTAATTGGTGTGAGTGTTGGAAATATTTATTTATTTATTTTTATTATAAAAAAAACAAAATCTAAAAAAATGTTAGGTGTGGACAACCCTTATCACTTAGGGGTATGAAAAATAGATAGAAGCCGATTCTCAGACCTAGTAAATATGCATATAAAGTTTCTTAAAAATCGGTCAAGCTGTTTCGGAGGAGTATGGTAACTAACATTGTGACACGAGAATTTTATATATAAGATTTAATGACGTTTCGCAGAAAAAAATCATTATTCTAATGATTTTTTGTCAAACAAAAATTCATTATTCGGACGACGCATTCCTGCAAAGGATGCGAAACGTCAATAAATAAATTAATAAAATCAGTGCATCTAATCCGTTGTAACTTGATTTATTTAATGAGTGATGTGCGTGAAAACCTAAAAAGCAAATTATCTCTTTGTCTCGTTCTCAAAATAACGATAAAACAAAATTAAGTACTTTCATATTATTAATTCTCTTTTTGAATATTAAATGCAATTAGAATATAAACGAATTGTAAAGTGTACCAAATTACATTCGGGAATAACTTTGTTGAAATTTGTCAGCTATTGTGTCCGGAATACACCGAGAACTTCAGAACTTGTTGGAATAAGTTTTTGACCGTAAATGTTTTGTTCGTTGTATCAATCTACTTAACTTTCAATATCCATCTAAAATGAAAACCATCTTTCAGGTTATAGAACATCGGGCGTCAGTGGATGTTGGGTCAAGAAGGAATTCAGAGTCCCGTAAGTTTAGCTAATAAACTAAAACTAAAGATGTTTAAATCTTAAGAAAATTTTACTACAAAAAAGTCCACGCGGTGCAGGCAGCAGACGGGACTTGATAATATAACCTAAATCAAGTTATTTCTTCTAAAGAAAAGTTTTACTAGAAAAAAATCCACGCGGACCAGGCAGCGGACGGAACACGAACCCGCACCCTTCGCAATCTGGGCGAATGCACTGACCAATTATGCTACCACGGCCCTGAGGGCCGCGTCGAAATTTTCCTAGCCTTAAGCTGCAAGGCAGCGCCATCTCTTCGCATTGTAGGTAACCCACAATGTCAAATGAATACTTTTTCAAGTATTAAACATTTGACAGAAGAAATAGCAATTATAGTTGTTTTTATTTTATTTTTTAAGCATTTAACTGCTATATGTTTAAATCTAATGAAAAGTTTTGTTAGAAAAAAATACACGCGGACCAGGCAGCGGACGGGATTCCGTCCGAAAATAAGTTATTTCTTTTTTGCTTTGGCCCGTTTTTACGAACAATAAGTAAATTTCTAACTAAGCTACTTTGAACAGAAATGTGCGTTCAGACTACGGTTAACTATTGCGCTATATAGTATAGCGCGTATAGCAAGTCCATACAAAAAGTATAGCGTGGTGTGAACGTGTTCTATGTAAATGTATGAAGCGCGATATCGTCCTATATTATCGTTTAAACGCAGCTTTATGTTCGAACTATCTTACTTAGAATACTACTTATAGCTTGTTAAATCTACCTATAGCTCTTAAACTAAAAATTGAAATTAAGGCAATCTTTATACGCTTCGGTGTCCCACTAAATATCCACCAATCGGGAATGTACAATATCGTTCAATATCGTGAGTACAATATCGTTGGCTAATCTGCTTATTCCATCGATAGGGTTAGCCTGTGTCCCGCAGAGGAGACATGTAATCCATACTAGTGGCTACCCGCGATTTTGTTTACCTACAAATATCCAAAATCCCTTACAAACTTTTATACCCTGTAACAGTTCCTTCAATTCTTATTGTAACCAAAGTATTCCCCGAGTTCCACTATTTGTCTTCATCACAAAAGTGAGAAGGAATGTGCGTATGGCTCGCTGAAACGCCAGAAAAACCTATAGCCGACCAAGACTAAAATTCTCTTGCACAGTCCCTTCCTCTCCCGTTGCTTGACTATGCCGATGCGTATTACCCTGACCTTAGTGTTGTTCTTCTTAATAAACTCGAGCGTCTGCAGAATTAATGTATTTGATTCATTTTCGGTCTGCGTAAGTACGACCATATCTCTCATTATCATTCCCAACTTCAATGGCTACCCATTTCTCGTAGAAGAGACTGTCACATCCTATCACTCCTTTTTTCTATCCTCTTTCATCCACACACGCCTCTGTATCTTAAGGAGCGTTTCACTTTTCACTCATTTAATCCTGTTCGTGACCTTCGGTCTTCTATCCTTAGTTATTCCACCCCACTCTACTGATTTCGTAGCCAAGTCATTCTATGTAAGAGCTGTTAAATTGTGGAATTCTTTACCTTTAGATATTAAACGTGCACGGACGAGGGACTCCTTTTCTATTAAATTTAAGGATTATTTCCTCAAGCTGGACTCTGACTGATCTTTTTATAATTATGTTCATTACTTTGTATTGTATTTTATAGCTTCCATATACTTTCTCTGTTTTATTTTCCTATATTTACGTTTATTTATTTATTTTTACAATGCACAGCCCGCTGTTTCTACTACTCTTATGGTATCGTTTCATTTAGCCAAAGGTTGCCTGGTAGAAATTGCTACCTTAGCAATAAGGCCGCCTTTTGTGTTTGCGTTCCTGTTTTATGTTTATTGTTTTTTTTTTGTAATAGTGCAATAAAGAGCATTCATTCAATTATTCAAAACCGTAATCTTTCTTGCATCAATTGAAGTTTTTAAGTATAGCTTATATCTTTGTTAAAATTAAAGTTCACAAAACTGCACATTGGCAGCAAAAGAGCTAATAGTTCTTTTAAGTCTTTATTCCACAACTTAACATTGTAACTTACTGGCTGATAGAGATTATTATGTTTCCTTTAACAAGACTACTAAATCTCAAACTTAACTACAGATACGTCCTGACGTTTGAGCTTCGTGACGATGGAGAGAGCGGCTTCGCTCTACCACCAGAACAGATCCTGCCAACCTGCCAAGAAACAATGGACGGCATGAAGACCCTGTTGACACCTCGAGTTGCTCGTTTCCAAAAACTTGGACCCCCCGACCGATTAATAGATTGCCAAAGTCGTATCGTCTCCAACACGATCATCACGATTTGTAATATGTGTTTATTTTTAATAGTACGATTCTACTAATGTACTTGTTTCATTTGAATCAGTGAAATAGGACTGCCCTGAACTGGACATAATGGATCACTAAAGTATCAAACTAGTGATATGTCATTCTCACAATAGGCTATTCGACAAGCTTTTGAAAACGTTGACGAAAACATATGTGAAATACCTGTATGTTTACGATTGGAGTCATATGATAGTGTGGTATCTACTACAGTGAAGCTTAATTTACTACATTCATAGTGTAGAATATATTAATGTTAATGCATGTAAAAGGATTATTTATGTTTGACAAGGTAATTTCTAAATTATATCAAAACATATCAACTAAAATGTCCATATCAGACAAGCATTTATCTATAAACATAAAAAAGTTGATCCAACGACAATTTCAAAAATTGTACAGCGGTGGACCGCCTCAAATTCATCAACGAAAGCACAAATGATGTTATCAGAGGTGGTAATATGACTAATGATCCGAATAATCGTTTAGGCGTAACGACAAATTGTCGAATCACGTGATCTACCGCCATTTATTTTGGCCCCATCGGCCAGTACAATTGGAGCTATCACTGTTCCCCGAACGCACACAAAGTAAATGAAAAACGAAATGGGAAGAGCACAAAGCGGAGCTCACGTTATTTTGGTCAAATGACAGCGTCAGTCATATGATGGGTTCGTGTATAGTACAATCCACTCAATGATTTATACATTATTGTGGGTGTGTTAAAGTCCATTTTTGATCGCTGTCAATGGTGACTGTTTAGTGTGATGCATTTCCTGTGAGCAGGCATTTACTACCTTCAGTTATTAGTTAATTGTGTCTATAATTTAGATATATTATTGTTATTTATAATTCTATATTGTTTTTAGTAACGTATGGAAGTAGGCTTATATAAAATTAATTGTAAATTAAAATGACATTAAAACCTAACTTGTAAAAAAGCCAAGTCTCGCCACTCAGTTCTTCTATCGTAAAAAGTTGTGTAATTTGTGGAACTCCAAGTCGGTTCATTTATTCAGTCCCTACTTCATCATCATCATCAGCCTATTAATGTCCCCACTGCTGGGGCACAGGCCTTCCCTATGGATGGAATAGGGAGATTGGGCCAGCTTCAGTCACTACCTGCACCGAGTCGCCCGTCGGGAGGAGACGCCGCGGTGTCATCACTGCGCCTCTCCCGACGACACGGCCGAGCACACGTTGATCGTGTGCTCGGCGGAGAAGGCCTCACGCTGCCAAGTATGGTAAGAGCCATGCTTGGTAGCGAGAGAGCCTGGAGGGCGGCCGCCTCCTTCTGCGAATCTGTGATGGCGCAGCGGAGAGGGAGCGGGAGGAGGACGCTCTAGCCCCCCCTCTCCGGCGTAGACGGGTGGGCCGAAGGAGGCAGGCAGCGGTGATTGCCGGTCTTCGACGGCCCTAAGGTGGTCTGGGCGCGGCCTGACCAGCCGCGCGTCTTAGGTGCCGCTCCGGCATAGGCCACCACGTCTGGGGACTGCCTAGTACCCTAGCGCAGTCCCCCTGAGGCGCGTCGCCCGGTCCACTCGTTGGGCCGGGCCTGCCCGGGGGCGTCCCAGTGAAGTGGACGCTAAGGTGCGTCGATCCTGAGACGCCCCCATATGGGCGTAGGAGGGTACCGGGGGGTTTTAGTGGAGTAGGATCAGTGTGGCCTTCCGCACTGGTCCTGCTTGAGTAGGGTCGGCACTGTTTCCCGTGCCGGCGAGTCCCACACACGCCGTGCGCCTAGTCAGCGTCACGGTATGGTGCGTAACTGCATTTCCCCTCGTCACAAAAAAAAAAAAAGGGGAGATTGGGCCATGAACCACCACGCGGGCCCTGTGCGGATTGGTGGATGCTAACGACTGCAGATGCAGCCGGGACCAACAGCTTAACGGGCCTTCCGAAGCACAGAGGAGCTCGATATAGTAAATTTTTGGTCACCCATCCAATGACCAACCACTGCGAAAGTTGCTTCACTTCAACGATCGCAGCCGAACGCGCTAACCACTTGGGCCATCGAGGTCCTCCCTACTTATACAATTAAATAAATAGATTGACTTCGCAATCGCATGAAAACACACTGTATCTCACAAGTGATACATATTATATAAGATTGTTTAGTACGATAGCCAAGTCAATCTATGTATTTAAAACGTAAGTGGGAACTGAATAAATGAAACGACTTGATATTACATAGCTCTCACAACTTTTTACGGTAGAAGAACTGAGTTGCGAGACTAGTTTTTTTACAAGTTATGTTTTTAATGACATCTCATTTCTTGTTGTAGTTAGTCCTACTTTATAGCGTTCTGAACCTAAAGGGTAAAAACGGTACCCTATTACTAAAACTCTGCTGTCAGTCTGTCACCAGGCTGTATCTCATGAATCGTGGTAGCTAGGTAGTTAAAATTTTCACAGACGATAAATTTCTGTTGCCGCTTTAACAATAATTTATAATTTATCAAATACTTAAAGCAGAAGAAAATAAGCATTTGAGGGGGTCTCCCATACAACAAACGTGATTTTTTGCTCTATATTAATAATGGCAACGGATAGACGTTTGAAATGTTCACAGAATAAATAGTAAAATATAAAAATAATAATAAGTGGGCTTCCATACAACAGACGCGATATTTTTGCCGTTTTTTGCTCGATATTATAAAATAGTGTCTAATGTTGTAAAGATAACGGAATTAAACCCTTCGTACACGAGTCTGACTTGCACTTGGCCGGTTTTTCTCCTTTCCGGTACCTTGTGCTCCTTAAATACCAACAACGCCATGTAACTTTGTAATCCTATATATTTATCTGAGATTATAAAGTTATTGATCCAGTTAGTGTATCCAGAAAACGGAACCGAAATTGCAAATTATATAAGTTTTCCTTGACTTGTACACTAAACACTAATTTGGTTTAAAATTTGAAGCTTCTATGTCTGATAGAAGTGCTTTAGGCTCGTATTACAGAATAAAAACCAAGTGTTGATCTTTACTTGAGTACAGTTAGAAAGGGATATCGCTATGTGCTATATAAAAGTGACATCCCTTTCTTACTATGCTCAAGACTAGATCAATCACTGAGAATCTTTCTGTAATACGGGCCTTAGAATTTTGATGATTGGTCAGTCAGTGAGTGACAAAAACAAGAAACTTTGACTAGATATAATTCTTAAAGAATTTCTACAAATTGAATGAAATTTGAAATGTAACGTGTTCATAAAATGCCTGCTTGTGTACGAAAAGTTCAGGCTTCTGGTTTTTATCAACAACGAAGTAATATGGGGTCGAAAATGGCCTAAACTGTTGCGAAAAAAGGATGGTACGGCTTTGCTGCTTTTTAGCTCGACTTGGCGAGGGGAACTGCCGTACCCCCAGATATTTGAAAAGAGGTTTGACCAGGTCAATCAGCATTTCTTAATAATTTTAAACTTATTTTTTGTTGGCAACACTAACAATGCATTTAAAAATTAGACATACATAAGTTGATGACGTAGTGACTGCAAAATACCCTACCGTAACACTGGTGTTAATGTATGATCGAGAATGCATGGAAACAGATTCTTCAACAGATTATAAAATTTATAATTGATTAAAGATTTTTTACAATTTTGTTTACTTGAAGTATGAATAGCGCGTAAGATATTTTACAAATAAACCTCAGCTGAATGCTCTGAGAATTTACGCCCGTTTCATTCTACAGTCTCTAAAGTTTTTTTTGTGTCATTTTTTTCTTAGCTGCGTAGATGAACTGTTATAAAAGGGAATACTTCAGCTTCGGAACTGTTCGTTGCACAATAAACATAAGATTTAACCAGTAAATTATTCTTTATTATTACTAGCAATAATAGTGTAGGTACCCTAGTTATTAAGATTTACTCTAATTCCTCAAATGACTCAGTTTTCAGTGCTTGAATGATAATATATTAACGCTGGCATTAAATGCTAGCTTAACATTAATAAGATGCTAGCTGAATGCAAATTTGGCTGCTTCGTTAATTTTAATAATCTTTGGAGAACACTTCGGTTTAAGCGGAACGTTTAAAGATACAATGGAACTGTTGCCAACGGGCGAGTGGTGCCCACTTGTGTAGTCTTTGTCACTATTCGGCGAGAAATATAATACAATCTTTATGGAATGCTTGAAACGTTGACGATTCTTCATTTAAATAAAATCTAATTAATTTGTATGGCTCATTAACAACAGGTAGTATGAAAATAAGATTGGTAACTATGTGATGCCCTGCAAGCGCATAGCAATCTTGCAAGATACTTTTGTGTCACCTAATACAATACAAGTATGTAACTTTTCACTTCACGTCGTGTTCTCATGTTATTCTTTGCCTCTCTTAAATCTCTTGACATTAGTGTCCATCCGAAATTATAAATGAAACACTCATGCTCTACTTAGAGAACATCTCTAATCCTATACGTAGTATTTATATTATTAATGTTAGGATTAATTCTTATTATTTAAGCTGCATCATCAATATTTCTATAGTTCTTCTTCTTACTAGTCGTGCACTCTTGACAGAGTGATCGTGGTCATGTCTCGGTCGATTCTTATGCCTTTGGCCTCATCATAACTCTCGTGGGAAATTAGTCCAGTGGTTTCCCGTTGCCTTCACCAGAACTTTTAGGGGGAATTTGGGTCCCAAGGTTTCTGACGCCTCTTCCGTACAGGTTGTCCCAACGGGTATGTATGGTTATACCGCCATTTCTCGGTCGCCATTGCCCCGTTGATTATCTAGCAGGAATACCACGGCAACCTATTGGTTGCCGCCGCCATTCGGCGCGTGCAGGTGGAGTTGACAATAGGACCGGTGAAGGTAGTATTCCGGTCTCCCCTTCTATAGTAGAGACATACAATTGACATCTTTTTGGCTTACCAAACATTTTCATTTTGAGCAACGGACTTTATTTGACCACTGTTCGGAACCATTTAGGAACTAAGTACATTTTTCCTTGCAACTCTAACGGCAGTCTCTAAACTGCAGAATCTTATTAATAGAGAATAGCTGAGT